GGAAAAGGCATCAAATGAAACAGCCACTTTAATGAATTAGATATTGAGCTGTTCATTAAAAAAAATCAAAGTCAGCACGCCAGACACGATGTGGAGTGTAACCCGGGGATGAACGGTTCTTGTTTAGCGAGCTCATAAAGCACCCCCCCCACCCGCACCTCCCTTACGATCTGATGACTTTACCGAATGTCGGCCAGAAATGTTTCATGTTCGCGAATTAGGTGACTCCGTTGTATTTTTCCTGGCCGGTTGCTCATTTGCGAGGCGACTTCTTGACGTTAAACGTTGAGTGGAAGGGTAACGCGATACGAGCGCGCAGGAAGATATCTGTTTTGCTTGGCCCGGACCTGCGGGTCGTTCTTAAAATCCTGCGAGCCGCTCCCAGGACGTTGGCCTGAGGAAGCCTTCTGACAGAGGAGAATGATTCAAATTAAATCAAATAGACAGCAATCAGCCGGTGGAAGACAAACAAACACGCACAAAAAAAAAAGGCAGTCGCGATCGTGGAGATGAAGTCTCCGACCGCAGACATGCAGTATTTGACGGAGATTTCTCCCTGCTCTCCAGTCCCATGCCACTCTCTGGATGGAGTAGTGACAAGCCTTTCTCATCAATTTGAAAAAAAAAAAAAGGGCCTATTGATTTCCCAGTTTGCTTGAATGTGCATGGAGTAGTGACAAGCCTTTCTCATCAATTTGAAAAGAAAAAAAAAAAGGGCCGATTGATTTCCCAGTTTGCTTGAATGTGCGACTCGATGCCAATGCTGATTGATGAGAATAGAGAAGCTTGGTGGAGGGATGGGGACAAAATGACAGAAAGTGGCATGATGCAATTCGATTGCAGCTTAATTGGGGTGCAGCAAAATTGAGGAAAAATTGGTTGTACCTTTTTTCCTCCCCAAATTTTTTTAATGAAATTAAAAATTCTGATGTGAGTACTCAGATTTGTTTTAATTTGTTCTTACCATCATTCATAATCTTTTTTTTTTTTTTTTGACATAATGCTCACGTTGACACCAAGTGACAAAATAAGACTGCAAGATAAAAAAAAGTTAGCGCCTTACTTGGATCCTGTTTGTGTGTCTCAACAAGAATCACCTGCCCTGCGTTACTTCAATTGGTCAGAGCTGATTTTTTTTTTTTTTTTTAACTAATAAATTAAGACTGCGTGCAATGGGTTTTACTGGACCTTAAAATATATATCTTTTTTATAACTTGGGACCGGCGTGATGAATCTATTTAATGTCCATTAGTTATCAGTTAGACATGTAATCTGGTTGCTACTTCCTGAGGCAAACAACAAACCCTGCGAAGAAACTTTCAATACAATCCAAAGTTTTTTGCAAATGTTGCACAAATGGTTGTGACCCGCTTTTTTGTGTTGACATGCTCATCCATTTCAACAAGAATCAAATGCCCGCTCCTCCTGACGAGTAACACTGGACTGAGACAAAATTCCAAAACACCCAACATCTTCCCTGCCATCGCGCGGCTACTTTTCACGTCGGCTTTTGCCAAAAAAGCAAGCAAAAAAAAAAAAAAACCAGCG